GGTGTCCTTTATCTCTGCTTTTCTTAAAGCCAACCATGTTCTTCTGTCATTATTTAATCTGCAGAGATTTGTTGTAGATTTGTGCGAACACTAAAAAGAAAATCAGTCATAGGTCATTAGAATCATTAGGTGTTAAAAAAACAAACATGGTGACTCATTCCACTGATAATGGCTTTTCATACTTGTTTTGCACTTGCTTAATTCAGAGTCAATCTCCTCTACTCTAGTTAATTAAAAATTAAGTAATTTGTCTCTGGGTTTATTAAAGTATTTCTGATTCTGAAGCTAGATTGATGCAGAGTTGACGATTTGAGTTCATGTTTCTTAAACCTACTTCATGAAACAGGCCTCAGATCTTTTTCTCATTTTAAAAACAAAATGTATATTTAACCTAGGAATCTGCAGTTTAGGAATTTGCTATCTATTGCTCAGAAAAAAGTGACAAGAAACCTTATTTCATATTAGGACCCTTTAGCAAAGATGCTTAAAAGGCCTTGAATTATTTTCTGATAATAGTAAAAAAAAAAACTGCTACTGGATTTATTCAGAAGGAAAATGTTCTGAATTATGGGGACTTGCTGTATCCCCCTCTTTACTTGGGGTTTATTTGCAAAAACAAAATAAAAAACTCCCTTTTCTGTAACAAGATCCGTTTTGCCTCACTGTATAGTCTTTTCTTCTTCTTTGATTGCATCATAAATATCTCCACACTAATAAATGATAAGATAAATGTACCAGTGAGGAAAAAGGTGTGGTGAAGGATTATTTTGTCAAAGTCTGAAAGAATCTGTGTGGCGTTGTAATAAATTATCAGCAACAAGGGACTGATTTAGTAAATGCAGACCAGGTGGTGTAAAACTGCCTCCTGAGAACTATCCAAACTTTCAAGCCCAAACAATAAACCACGACATCTAGAACAGACTTGAACATATTTAGGTTTCAGTTTTGGACCTGAAATCGTGTTTTCAGGCAGTTTGCGCAACAAAAGTCTGAACTTCACCACAGAACTGTAACATTTCTTGTTGAAGACTAAACTAAAGTTTAAAGTTACAGTAACAAAACACCCCCTCCCGCCGTCTGCAGGGACCCACCCGCTGTCTGGGGAGTGCTCGTTTTCCTTACCTTGAATCCCACAAGGGTGGAGTGTTGTTTCCTGCTTTGTGCTTGTGGGTTCAAGTTTTCAAGTCTTGGCCTCATTAGTTTCTGTCTTTGGTTCCTCTGGAGAGTGTAAGAGTTCATCGTGTTCAAGCAAACGGTTAAAGCATGACGACTGCGATCTGAAACAGTCATCAGCAACCAGCTGTCTGAAGAATATTTGTTGATGTATCTGTGCTGAAGTCATCAGAGAAACCTACATCTTCACAATTTTCTGTAATTTGTTTTAAACCTCATTAATCAACCAAAGTTCCTTTGGATTTGGAAGATCTGGAGTTTTTTTTTTTTGGGACTTTGGACTAAGTTCTGTCCATAATGTGTGCATGTTGTCCTTAAAAAAATGTCAAACGTGCTCTAAAAAGGGTAAAATCCTATTAAGGAAAACCTAGATCCTACATTCATCAGTGTTAAGCATTGATATAAACCAATGTTTGTGTAAAAAATGGTCTTAAGAGTGAAAAATAAACGTTAGAAATAACCGAATCCTGATTGATGATGGGATTTAAGACGGCTGCCGTTGTTTGTAGCTGTCTCGATATCAGTTTGCATCAGTGTGGCTCAGTTATTTGTTTTATTTTCTGGTGTTCCCGTCACTTGAACGGCAGAAAAAGAGTTCTTCCAAGTGAGCAAGAGCAGTTCTAAGAGGCCGCTGCCGACAGGAAGCGGGTCCAGCTGGTAGCAACGTCTCCCTTCTGTAAACACCAAAACGCTCTGATAAACGGTCCACCCTGATTAATTGGTGCCCCTCGGGGTTTGGGGGAAAACACACGCACACGAGCAGCCGATGATCAATTGTTTCCATGTGTGGCGTTTGGACCTGGAGACGGTGAACTCTGGGCGGCTGCATGCATGGGATGGATTAACCTGAACTCGGAAACACTTTTTATTGCTCTGCTTCTTTGTGCTCTTTCATGTCGTCTGCAGGCTCATGTTAGAAACATGAACTTGAGTAGCTGCTGCTGCTCTTTTTGTTCCCTAAATCTGGTCCAGAAATGTTTGAGCATGTTTTTTTTTTTTTTAATTGTCAGGAAATTGTAAAACATGAAAGCAGGTTTGCTTGGAGCAAACACAGCTTTAGGAAATGGCTAAACTTAAAATTTTTATTCAAAACATTCGATTTTTGGATCCTTTTATATATTTCATCAACAGCTTTTTTGTTTGTTTTTTAGAACTTTAAAATGTGATGGATAAAATATTAATTTCAGCTCTGAAATCATCATCTCAACCCTAAAACTGCTTTTTCAGGTGATGAATTTGAGAAAAACTAAAATCATTCAGGCTTTTTTTAAAGTAGCCGTTTGCATAAATGTTAAAGCAAAACAAATTAACTATTATTTTCCTGTTTCACTTTCTTTAATTTTTCTATGAGGGAAACTTTTTGTCTCATCAGCTCTAATGGAATGGTTTTTTTATTAACATATTGTGCTGTTATTTTTCTTTTTTTCCCCCCTTGTGCTCTGTAACAACGAATAGATTATAAAAAAAAAAAAAGTAAGCTTTATTGGATTTGTTTCCTTTTTTTTTTGTAAATATATATTCCTTTCCTGTTTTCTTTTTTTCCCATTACCTTTCCTGTCTTATGTCTTTTTTTATTTTCAAATTTTTGGGGGGTTTTCTTCTATTTTTCCCTTTTATGTCTGTTGGAAGTCACATTTATTTGAAGAAACATATTCTGCCCTTTTTCACCCTGTTGTTGGGAGGAGAAAAAGGAAAGAACTCCAATTTTAATTTGTAAAGTTAATGTTCTTCTTTAATGATGAAAGTTTTGTATTTAACGATGTCTGTCTCCTCCCATTAACAGCTACACTAAAAACACTACAGATGCATGAATAATTCAGCTGGAGAACAGATTTGCAGAAATTTTCTTAATTGGCTCTGATTGTTGATCTGCATGTCTAATGATAAAAATCAGAGAATCGAATAATCAATATGAACATTATCAAACACCAGATATTAAAAATCAGATGATTAGAGTCACATATTTTGATGCATAAATAGGAACATTTTTGTAATTTGCTAATCTTCAGTTGGATTTCAAATCTCTTCCTCCAATTTAACATCTCCTGCACTTTTTTGTCTTTTCTGTTTTTTGTTCCCCAGAATAAAATCAAAATCTGAATCAGTATCAGGCAGGAAAAAGTGTAATCAGTGTACCCTGACCTATGTCCAAGTACCAGAAACCAGCTATTTTTGCCCATATATCTCTGTTGAATACATTTAATGAAAAGTTGCACTTGAACAAATGTTAATTTAGTTCAGTTTACATTTATAATATGAACCAAGGTTATTTCTTTAAACAAATTACTGAAGACAGACCAGATTTTCATTATAGTCCTTGCTGATAAAGTTATCCGCATAGTTATACATTAGTGCTGTTTAAAGGAATTTATGGTTCTACATAATTTACATACATTAAATCCCAGGAGGAACAAAAAATCACCTGACAGGGATGGCCACAGCATTGGGCCAGTGATTGGGTTAGAGCGGTTATGGCTCCCCTGGCCCCTGCCAACCCCTGATCCTTAATCTTTTATCACTTGTAAAATGAATATTTGATCCACCTTCTGCTGTATTCTCAGTTCCTGCAGAGGATCACCAGGCAACATTTGTTGTAATAACACCAGATTGATTAATAAATGCTCTTTCTCAAGCTGTGTTTGTTAAGAATCTATACAATCCTGATCTGATCTAAGATCAACATTTATAAACATAACTACAAAGAGGACATGCATTGTTCATAACTTGTTCTAACTCTGATGCCCTCAAACTAGTTGCACAACCAGAGTCTCTTATGCTACGTTCTGACCGCACGCTGCAGAGGCAGCAGAAGCAGCTAGTTTATATGCAAAGTCTATGGTTGACAAGCATCAAGGTGCAGCAAAAGGTCCTGCAGCGCATTTTGAGCAGCAGGAGCAGCACGTCTGAGCAGCTGAGGCAGCGCCTCAAGAGCTTCTGAGCATCCGACGCATGTGATGCACTTCAGAAGCAGCAGCAGTTGGAAAAAATTTTACTTTTGCTGCTGGATGCCCCACATCAGCCAATCAGAAGCTGATCTGGGAGCTGGCAGTGAAACAGACACAGCACTGCTGATGCAGATCACTACGATTACTCCTCTGAAACAGTTTATTAACGCCTAAAATAACTTAAAATGTCGAAACCTGTAGGCAAAATATTTTCGATGTTATTATTCCGGTGCCTGCAGTTTGGATAACGTATGTGAAAAACACCTTCCAGTCGCCACGAACAGTAGCGGAAAACCGGGACCGGGCCAGAGGCTGCCGTTTAAGGGGTGTGAGCGGCTCCTACAGCGATATAATATTTGAAGGCAGGATCGTAATCTTGATGAACTGACTGCACAGATGAAGTTTTCAGGTGGACTTTCTTACTTAAAAACATATTAGAACTACTTTTGACCAACTTATCACAGCAGATATAGCAAAGCCGCTCTCTGCCACTGAACACAGGAGCAGAAGCATCTAGACACACCTTACTGGACGTCTGACCCTAATGTGTACAAATATAAAAAAATGAAGCAGCAAAAGCTTTTCGACCGGCCAGCTAGAGCAGCAAAGATGCTTCAGCTGCGTGTCAGAACTAAACTTGTACAAGTATAAAAAATGAAGCAGCACCCACGTTTTTGCTGTTTCTGCTGCATGCGGTCTGAATATAGCATTACTGATGTTGCATTTTTAAATGAAACAAACCTCAAGCTTTTGTGTTAGATAACTTAATAAACCATTGCTGATTGAAATATACAGTTCTTCAGATGATGTCTCCTTTATTTTTCTCATAAAAATTTTACTGATTCATCAAATTAAATGTGGGCCCCTTGTTTACCTCATCAGGTTCTTCCGGGGTGACTACACAGTGGAGGTGGCAATCAATGACTACCTGGACATCTACTGTCCTCACTACGAGGTGCCAGAGTCGGCCGAGCGCATGGAGCACTACGTTCTTTACATGGTGAACTACGACGGCTACATGAGCTGCAACCACTACAGGAACGGCTTTAAACGCTGGGAGTGCAACCGGCCACAGAGCCCCAACGGGCCGCTCAAGTTCTCCGAGAAGTTCCAGCTGTTCACGCCCTTCAGCCTGGGCTTCGAGTTCAGGCCGGGACATGAGTACTACTACATCTGTGAGTACTAAACGCTCTGTACTTCTATTAGAATCCATTGTAATATTCTAAATACTAAATTCTAAAATTTAGTGACTGGATAAACTACAAATGGCTCTGAATTCAGCAGCTTGTAGAACCACTACCAGCAGGAAGAACTCAGTCACCTCGGTGATTCCACAATAGTCTGTCATTTTATTTTCGTGCATCATTACCTGTTCCTTTAAAATGAGTCCATATCACCATTCTTCCTATACTGTGCTGAAAAGCTTTGTTCTTCTAATAATTGTCTATTTTGTTTATTTAGAGGGAATGTTTATAACAAATTTGTTGTTCTTTACATCAAACTTATCTTTTATTATTCCTAACACGAACGTTTTATCTTGGAGTTTTAAAAATAAGAAAAGATTTAAAGGAGTTGGGCCTGACTCGGCATAAATGCAGTTTAACAGTAAGTTTTTTTGTTTTTTTTTCTGAAGAACATACAATAAAAAATTTTATTTTTTTTTTTAACATAACACTGATGTTACGTTCAGGATGCTAACTGAGACCTTTGCAATCTGCAATAGTGAAAAAACAAAAACTCCAGAGTTCAGAGTCCTGTAAGGCCTCAGCTTGGGGAGGTTTTACTGGACTATCTGGGATTCGAGTGCCATTTTAAAACTTTTACACTTACAGTATTAATAATTATTCCCTCTGCTTCCTTCATAGATTCATGGTTAGTACTGAACTTGCTAAATTTCCCCCCTAATTTGTTTACGCTTGCTTGAATTAGTTTATGATTCTTTCCAAAAAGTAAATGTGTATAAGAGGAGCTGGAAACGTATTTGTTGAATAAGTTCTGACATATCGAATATTTACCTCGCATGACTGATCAGCTGTTTCCACTGCCGGCGTGTTAGTAGAATCACATTTCCTCTCGAGATCTCTGGATGCTGTGCAACATCTCTAATACTACAAGACATAATAAAGTAACTACAATTTTCTTGATTGCTACACATAGATTAGAACCTGCGTCTGTTACTAGCTTTATTTCCTGTTTTTCTTTTGCAGCGAAGAGTAACGTATGACGACATTATGCTTTGCAGCTGGGTTACCTCACTCTCATGGCTAATTTGCATTTTCTTTTTTTCTGCATTTTAAAAGTTTGGACATTTGGGATGAAAAAACAGCTAATAACCGTTTCCTCTCTGAGGTTGTGGTTGATGTCTTTTATTTTTTAAATTTCATTAACACACACCTGGATGCTCCAGAATAGCTGATGACCTGCATGTTTTTATAGGAGCTCACAGTGATGATGACCAATCGACCAATGCGTTTGTTTATCAGCACCTGGCTGCTAATTTCCCTTTTTAATCCTGTAGAAGCAGCAATGGAGTCCTTGTAGTTTTTCCATGCAGTTGTAATCTCTGCCTCGTCTTTGATAAATTACAGTGTGAATACATTTGAGTCATGATTCAAATAATCTCGTAGTCCAGTTCAGGCTAGATGTCTGTCCTGATAAAACCTCTAGAATTCAAAAATGGCGTGCTTTGTTTTTAGCTAGAGGAAGAAGCAGATTGCTCTGAAATGCTTGACACTTGTAGATAAACCCATCAAGTCCCCAAGAAGATTTGTCATTTATTGATGAATGGCTTCAAACTAAATTGAGCATTTTCTAAAGTAGGAGAGGAATGGTACATTAATGGTAAGAACGACAAGTTTCTCTTTCAATTGACCAACTATTGACTAATTATTCGAAATGAGCGTGTTATTTCTCTCCTCTAAAATGACCTGTTTTCTGGCACCATGACCATCTGATGATGTGGTCTGAACCCAACATCAAGAGCCCGTCAGGGTTTACCAACAAAGGTCAGACAACACGAAGCAAAAGCAGGTTCAAAACTCACAGAAACGCAAGCTGCAGGCATTTTGTTCTGTCTGGACATAATTTGTCCTCCAAGCTGGAAAACATTTCCTAAATTGTGGCTCGTTTGGACTGAAAGGCCTCCAGCAGAGACAGAGACGCAGTTTGTTTTAAATGACACTTAATGACTGTGTGTGTGTGCGTAATGAATGCAGCAGGTTCAGAGCAGAAAAATGAATAATACATTCTCTGCGGGTCAGAGTCAAACAGCAGAACAAAGAATCTGAAACTGGAGATTTAATTCAAAAGCTTTTTATAAAATTCCTTTTATTCAGCTGGATTATGTTTGACTCTGCTGTTGGAAAACCTAATTATACCGACTTGTAAGTAAGCTTAGACACAGGAATATCTGGTATGAATATGATATTTGGACATGTCTGTTTAAATGGAGTCATTGGCCAAGAATGGCCTGATTGTCAAGCATGGTGGTGGTGGGATGATGAGCTGGGGTTTGTTTGCTCCTTCCTTTCATTGGATTGAGCGTGAGTTTCAATGAAAATATCTACATATACACATAGGTTTCCTCCTCAAGCACAGCTGATTTCCATCAATAGCTGATTAACAGGCTTTTTCTGAACTGCAATCATCATAATCAGCTGTGCTGCAGCAGGGTAACCTCTACAACCTACAGAACAGCGGCCCTCGAGGGCCAGCTTTGGGCAGGCCTGCTCTATACCATGGTCTAAATCTTGTCTTTTCTAATCTGTAGCCGTGGTTCTATCCAACCGAAATGCCAATCTTAAACAAACTTATAAAAGTTTGAAAAAAGGAAATGCGCAAAGTGTAATGTCATATGTCTCTGTACACATTACGTTGTGACACAGGGCTGTAATAAACAAGCAGTAAGGCCAGGCACGTTTATTTGTATAGCACAGTTCAGTATACGGACAATTCAGAGTGCTTCACATGAATTAAACGGTAAAATACTGTAGAAGCAAAATTAAAGAAAGTGAAAAACATGATAAAAACAGATAGTAAAGCAAATAAAACAGTTGGAGCACACACTTAAACTAATGATACATTACTTAACATTTTAAGTTTTTAACTTAAAAGAACTCAGGCTTTCAGCACTTTTACTGTCTTCTGGCAGTTTGTTCCAGAAAAGTAGAGCATAGGAACTAAACGCTGCTTCTATATGTTTGATTCTAGTTCTGGGTGGACATAGTAGTATGCTAGAAGACCTGAGTGTTCTGGGAGGTTTATGCACTGGTGACAAATCTGTTATGTATTGAGGTTCCGATCCATTCAGTGATTTATAGACTAACAGAAGGATTTGTGGCTCTATTCTCTGAGCTACAGGGAGCCAGTGGAAGGACTGCAGAACTGGGCTGATGTGCTCTATTCTCTTAGTTCTAGTGAGAACACGGCCAGCAGTGTTTTGGATCAGCTGCAGCTGTCTGATGGACTTTTTATGCAAACCTATGAAGACATGTTTTGCAATAATCAATTCTACTAAATATAAATGTATAGATGACTTTTTTTCTAGATTCTGCTTGGACACTAGTCCTTTAATCCTGTAAATGTTCAGTAGGGACTGAAATCCATCACTGACCACAGATTAGTAATATAAGTTTTAATAAATGTGTGGTTTTTGGGCAAGTTGTTCCTACATTACCATGTCCCTTAGCAATGGCAATTTTGCCTCCAGCCATGTTTACGTGAATAATAGTAACATCTGGGAAGACCCCGACAGCAGAAACAGCTGATCAGTGAGTAAAGGTTTGCAACATGCGAGCTGATACAAAAAAAGTGAAAACTTTTTTGCGAATTTAAGGCCGTTTTCTTGAATGTGTATCCGTTTCCATTAAAGTTTTGGGATTTTAAACTTTAAAATGCACTTTAGTGAAAGCTGAGGGAAATGCACCTTCTGTCTCTACTCCTTGTGTCATTCATTTTGCTATACATCCTTCTTGCTTTCCTTTTCTCCCCATCACCTCTTCTGTCCTCCCATTGGTTCCTTCATAATCCTTCCTTCTAATTGTGTTTTTCCTTCCTTCCTTCCTTCCTTCCTTCCTTCCTTCCTTCCTTCCTTCCTTCCTTCCTTCCTTCCTTCCTTCCTTGCTCTGACGGCCTAGTCAAAGTCCAGAGATCAAACCGACTGGCTAAGTCAGTGAAAGATTACTTCACAACCCCATAAATGACTAAAGATTAAAGTTTTCTGGAGTGAAGGTTGCTTTTGAATCACTAGCTAAACTTTAGGACCTTCCAAATATCCTAAAGAAACAGTAAATCTAGGAGGTTACATTTACTGTGTGACCATGTTTTCATGTAATGTTTTTGTTGTTTTCCTGGATTGCATTGCTTTTCATGTATCCATCGACTAGCTTTAAACAGTGACATGTTTGCAGGGAAATAAGCTTTCTTTGTGTTTTATCTGCAGCGTCCCCACATCCAAACCTGGCTGGGAAACCATGCTTGAAGCTCAAAATCTACGTCAAACCAAGCAGTGAGTCAGAACCTTTTTATACATTTTGTCATTTTCTGTGAACGCACCTCTACATTTTTTAACAAGTTAAATGGCTCCAGAGGTAAAGTCGTTCATTTGAACTTGGTAACTTTTTTCCTCCATTCACATAAATCTTAACAGTCATTAAGTATTAATAAAACCATTAATTCCTAAACAATGTTTTGACAAATTGAGGTATTCCAATTGCTCAATAGGTTTCTGTCAAATTTTCTACAGTTCTTTGGTGCTTTTTAGGCAATCTTTCTAAATTTTAAACTCAAACAGATGCCAGTATAAAGTCTATATGCTCCTGACCTGCTTTGACAGCACAGTACAACGTGGACAGTATCATCAGAGATTTTACCTGAAACTTGACTTTTTGATTTTAAAAAACAATTAATGAAGGATAATGAACAAAAGAATGAGATCCTAGATTCAAGTGCTGCAATGGTCTATTTCTGCAGGGTGGCTGAAATTCGCTAAGGACAAGAAATAAAACAAAATACATGAACTGAGCTTAATTGTAGCACATGTTTTTACATTAATACAGCTGACTGGAGCTCCAATATGGATGGAAATCTATATCTAGTGAAAGAAAAAAATGAACCTAAAACTTTTTTTTTTCAATTAATAAAATGACAAACTTTTATTAAAATCTTAATGTTTTATAGAATAAACCCAGTACGTAACATTTAGACTTACCAAATTCTGGAAAAAAAAATTATGTATATTTTACCAAAATAGAAACAACTAATGTTTATTGGGATTAAATGATTTTTTAAATCCAAAATTGAATACATTAAATAGTAGCAGCTATCCTGCATTAATATAGGAAACATAGCTTTATTTTTTTCTCAAATAAACTTCTGAAATGAAACCTTAGATTATACACTTTCACATGATGTTCAAGAGCTTTGTGGTTGTTCAAGATTCTTTTTTTATATATATAAAATATCTATGCTAATATTTTTTTTAGTTTATTTTAAAGGTGGGGGATTAAAAAGGAAAACTTCAATGCATTTTCATTCCAGGTACTGCTTGTTGCTGGCATTGCTCCAATATTCTCACAAATAGCTCCTAGTGTTTGTTTTCAAATTTCTGACAAATGAATGACAGTTGCTCTATGGAAAGAGTAGTTTTATTATTTTGTGAAAGCTGCTATAGGCTTAGGCTGCTGGAGGACATAGGGACCCCTATTTCATCATTCTGCTTCATTCTATCTCTATTCTCCCACTCTGCAGAATCTGTTAGTTCAATCTCTAATGTTATGCTCTCTCTGCTTTTTCTCATTGTAGCTTTGCCTCATCTGTTTCTGTTTGGCTGTGATACTATCCTGGAGAGAAATATATATAAGCTATATAATATATATAGCTATATAAATAAACTGAATTGAATTGAAGTTAACAGATCCATTTGTGGGCACACCCAAAAGGCATGGGAACACCAATAGGAATAGAAGGCATCCTCTGAAAGAATAGACCAACTCTCCTGATTGGCCTTCCTGTGTTGTGGGGGTACAGCCACAAATTGAGCCATTTGAGGGTCATGGTTAAATGGCATGAAGTGAAATTATAATTATTGTATTGAGACTGTAAAGCATGCCTTTATTTCAAAAAAATTAAAAATATATATACAGTATAAACATTTTGCATACTGCTCTAGTGAAAAAGTTTGTTTCACCTGGTTTAATTTTGTAAAACTTTACATTTCTGTCAACACCACTCATGTTTTGGTCTGTAATTCTCTGCAAAGATGATCCTCACTCTCATGCAGCTGCAGATTTGTTGCTTTTTTCCTAAATGTGAAAGTGAATCCCATCCTCTGCGTCCCATTAATGAGGCCTCCTTTTATGCTCGTGCTAAATGAAGAGTTGATTAGATGTCGAGTTTAGTTACCTGATAGATATCACCTGTTCTGAGCGAGTGTTTTTTGTCACTGTGGAGAAAAAGCTGTGCTTATTCATGTGGCTGATTTGAATTCTCTGTTAGTCCTGTTTGGAAAGGATACTAAAATGAAGGAAAATAAATGCCTGAAATGGTTTAATTATTACCATTAAAAACAGTAAGGCGATGTGTGAAAATGGATCATGATTGAAATGTGGCTTTGCCAGTCAAAATTACTGTTAAAAAAAAAAAAAAAAAACCTTCAAACTCATCCTCTGCTCTAGGGTAAAGAGCTTTGAGGTTTCCGTGTAACTGGAAAAATAAATCTGGTCCATTTACTAGATGGTAAAAGGGTTGTGTAACCGGCTTTATGACCTCCATTCAAGTTAATTGAAATATTAGCTGCTGAACGGAGGGGGGCGGGATTAAGAACTGAAAGAAAAGGGGAAAAAATGTAGGAAATGTAAAGTTTCGATTCAATTAAACTCTGCTGAACCTTCTGCAGTCATCTGGTATGAAAACATATGTCTATATAGATATATGTATATCGATATATATAGATATAGATATATCTATATATGCTATGATAAAAAATAAAGAAAAGTTGTAGAAAATATATTTGTAGATTATTTTGGAGCCTAATCTAGAATGTAGATTATCTTTTCTTGTTTAGGAGCCACATGGCTAAGTTTAAAAAGGCTGAGAAGAACCCCTGCACAAGTGCTTACTTCCAGAACCAAATACTTTTGTCTATCTTCTCCCCTACCCTCGGTTTCTTTGTTAATGGCTTCTGAATGGCTTGTGGCAGTCTGTGGGAGTGGGACTTGAACTCTGGACCTCTGGATGCCAAGCGTAATACCCTAAACACTAGGCCACCACTTCCCCCAATCTATCCAGAACGCTACTGTTAACCAGAGGCAGAACTGTATCCTGCTACATGGAATTACAGAAATCATTCCAGTGAATCAAAGCTGTCAAGTCTCCCGTTTGTCAGCTACAGATTTTACCCCTTTTTCCCACATTCCTGCATATTACCAGCCTCTTGCAAATTTCACTTATTATTGTATTATATAATTATATATATAAAAAAAAAACTAAAACATATCTGCCTCTCCAAACAGGATTTTCGTTGGCATTGTAAGTCAAAATCCGATCACCTTATTGTAGATGCAATTGATCGAAATGTTTATTTCAGATTTCGTGTGCAAATGCTATGCGATACTGTAGCTTGATAGTCGGACAGCTCGCTGCTAATTTCGTAAAGATTCCCATATTTTCAAATCCAAAACTTGATATGTATGCAGTGAGTCCACAAAGAACAGATCTGATCTATTAGAAATGATGTGTGGTTTCCCAAATATCTCTCAGATAAAAGTAGGAATATCATAAATTTCCCTCAGACCCATATCATAAAAACTGGTCTACAAGTGTCTACAAGAAGCATTATATCAAAGCCATTCCAACCAAACTGGGGTTAGTACTGGCTAATAGGGGTAGAGTATCCTTACTTTCCTCAGATAGGTGACATCATGTTTGTAAACTGAAAGAACTCTCACATCAAAAACTTTGCAATTCTTCTAATGTTTTTATTCACAATCCTCCAATCTGAGGACCCATCATCATATTTGAATTAATCCCTCCTGCTTCATGCGAAGCTGTAAATGTCATTTCGAAGCCGAGGAAGTGTGAAGACTCGCAGCTGTCATAGTGAAGGATTTAAAGACTTCCTAACTGTTTCAAAGCAGTTTAGGTGATTCTAACTGTCACTGCAGAGAACAGCATTAACACATTTACACCATATCACTGGCTGGAAATCCTGCGTCTACCCCAACAAATCAGCGTTCATCACCTCCACCGCTGCTGGAAGCTGATTTGTCAGATATTTGATGGGGGCTTTGCAGAGTAAACGCCGTGTGCTGCTGAGCGGGATGAAGAAGTGTCCATTAGGCGAGGAGGTGGATCGTCTTCACATGCACTGATTGCTCTGAAACAGTTGAGCTGTGAAAGAAAACACTCAGAATATTTAAAGCATTGAGCAAACAAACTGTGCACAAATTATTTCTCACTGCAGGTTTTAAGCTGCATCAGTAATTTGGTCCTGCCAGGTTCACAATATATAATGGAACAAAAAAGTAAATACAGAGCATGCTGTAAAGTTTTTGTGATTTAAAGTAATAATAGGGGTTCAAGCATTGAATCACAGGAGTCCAACAGGAGTTTAACATGCAGTTTTTATATTTTCAGTTTTTCTATGTTCAACCACCACTTTCAACAACATTATAAAGTAGGAGATGACAGTGGCACACCTTTATGATGACATCTGACAGTTTATCCACACTTTGCCCTAATTTTCACTGTAGTCCATCAAAATACTCGTCTTCTTCCACTTCATTTAGAACCGCTTCTTGGGGGCAGCAGTCTCAACTGAGATTCCCAGACTTCCCTCTCTCCACACATCTCCTCCAGCTCCGCTCAGTAAAGCCTGTGGTGCTCTCAGGCCTGCAGAGAGACTTTGTCCCTCCACCGTATATTCTGGGTCGTCCCTTCGGCATCCTCCCAGTGGGACATGCCTGGAACACCTCTGATGGGAGGCGTCCAGGGGTCATCTAAAAAAGATGTCCGAGCCTCGCAGATGACCAAGCTCCTCACCCTCTCAAGAGCCCAGCCAACCTACAGAGAAGGATCATTTCAGCTCGTGAATCCTGGATCTCATTCTTTCGGTCAAAACCCAGGTTTCATGGATGTAGGTGAGGGTAGGAATGTAGACAAGTAAATCTAGAGCTTTGCCTCTTTGCTCAGCTCTCTCTTCACCGGTGCAGCGTCTGCACTATAACATCAGATGCACCGATCTGTCTATAAATCTCACGCTTCATGGAAATATAAGCTTAAACTAAATTCGAAAATTTTAAAGAAAATACCTTTAAGAATAATTCCACATGGAGTAACTTTTTAGAAGTACACATTTACTAAAATAGAATATATATATATATATATATATATATATATATATATATATATATATATATATATATATATATATATATAACAAGATAAGGCACCTGATAACTGCAGGCCTAAAAGATCAAATGTTTTAAACATCCATTCATCGAGTTATCTATCTGTAAAAAGTATAGATGTCTGTCAGTCACTCCAAAACATTTCCAACACACAGAAGAAACAGTAAACATAAATGCTCTCCTTCTATCCTCTATTTTATTTTCTTCCCTGTTTTCCCGTCAGTCCAAAGCTACCTCTGTCTTTTCCATCATAAGCGTCACTCTTTGCTTAACCTGTGAGCTGATTAAAGTAAACAGAGGCTGATTTTGGACAAAGCGGGAGAAGTGTATCTATTTATGTTATAATCTTAAGCTCATTGACACATTGGCACAGTGTCCTCTAGTTTATCACACACTGGTTTTCTCATAGGGTGAGCCTGCCGCTCACTGAACCACAGAGCTCCTCAGAGGAGCGCTGTTAGCCCCGCCCACTGGAAACTGCATGTGGACCAAACTACTTTGTGCAATAGGGGTGTGGGGGGTCATGCTCTTTCATAATAAAGAAGAACATTTTAGATAAAAAATTTTAGACCGCTAACCTATTTTTAAAACTGTGATCCAGTCATTTAAAAAAATTTTTTCCCCTTGTGTTATTAGCTTTTTCCTCACTGTTTTTGTACCCAACATATGGTGTGAAACAAGTGAGATCAATTCTCTGTGTGAAGTCAAAATTAGGAAAACTTGATCACAGCCATCGGATGTTTGACACTTAAATGCTTCTAAAATTTAATTATATCATGATTTTTTATTTCATAGTATTTAGTCATATAAAAGTCATTTAAGGGGAACTTTAATTTGGTAAAACAGGATCACCACTAAACACTTTGGATCACAAGCAGAATGTCAATAAATGACTGGTATCAAAAATCATCTTGAAATGACTACAGTAACAGTGAGGTACGGCAGCAAGAGCATCAAGGCTGATTTATACTGAGAAACCAGGTTGTCTCCATGTGTGTCGTAGTGAATGCAAATGTGCCCCCGCCCCTTCTGCAGACACTCTGGTGCCCCTCTCCAAAATTCTAGGTGACCGCAGACAGGAGGCATCTGATTGATCAAATCTACATCCGCTCTACACTATGCATGTTCCTTGTTTGGTACCTTACCAGCTTGTTTTGTTTGTATGACCTCCATTGTGGAAAATGCCCCGTGAAGCTGGACCAGCTAGAAGAGGGAGGTGCGCGAGAACGCTTTTTCCACCTGGATCCCAGCTCTTTTTGGCCCTCATGTCCCTCCGTTGTCCCATAAACTTGCCCCTTACATTTTTCCACTTCCTCACCGCCTCGGCCGTACCTAGACCCACAGCTAGTTTGTGATTGTCCCTCTTGTGTTGTGGTGTGGTATAACAGAGTGCAGACCACGCTTCAGTATTGGACCTTTTATGGTAATGACAGACATGGTGTAAAAAACTGAACAATTTATGAGAAAAGAATCTAAAGATCACATTAGGACACTCCAATAATCCTGAAAAGCACATTGGACCTAAAAAGATCAGGGTCTATAGCAAAGGCCACTTGTGACTTCAATAAAAATCACTAAGCATACTCTGTACTTATCACATACCGTTTTCACTTTTTTACGCATGAAAATAATTACTTGGCTCTTTACAAGCATATGGTGTGAATTTAGTTTCAGAAGCTCCATCAGAAATATGTTGCTTATTTTCCAAAATGAAAAATGTTCTCTCTGTTCTTTAGATGAGGACATTAATCTTATTCATGTCCATTTTTCACATCTACACTTTGTCACGGCAGTGTGGGGTTTGGAACAGATGACTGCTTTTAGACGCATTACTGTGACTTGCACTAGAGCACCGGCTGGTCCTGTCTGTCATTCTTTGCTATTTACCATACCCAGCATCTCTGCTGCTAAACGAAATTTAGAGCTGCACAGTCGCAGTGAAAGAGAAATCTACTAATGAAATTAGAGAAGCTCACTTAGTTCAAAGGTATAACGGCTTCTTAATAGAACCATAGCGTGGTTCTACTGGACTTGAGGCGTGTTAACACCTAGAGATTGTTTACTTTGGTTCAAATCAGGTGACGAGTTTAGCATCTACGTAGCTTTTTCCAGTAGTTTTTGGTGTTTTGGTTCCACAACTGAGCTGCATGGTTTGTTTTGTGAACCTTGAGCGCCTTGGAGAGAAGGCAGACTACATGTTGCAAGATCAACCTTAAATCCTAATGGTATTTGGTTCAATGCAATATTTAAAAGCTGTAGACAGATGAAAAAATATACAATAACCAATTAGATGGTGCTCACTGGATATGGGAGAGAGACGTTTATTTTACTGGAACCAAAGTTTACTTAACCAAATCTAGACAAGTTTGTAATTCAGACGTTCGTTTGAAAAGCATCCTCAGTTCATATTTCATGCTTTTATCAGCCATTCTACACTTGGGTTATTACGAGCACAGCTGCTGGTTTTATGGTAATATCTGATTCCACACATAGAGCTGCGAAGTCTGCAAGGGAAGATCCTTCCTGCCTACGGCTTTCAACACCCATAACTTGTTGAGAAACTGCCCATGAGTTACAGCAACATTTAATTTCACTTTGGGATTAATGAAAATTTTATTGACTGAATAATTGAACGTAACTCTTTGCTTCTGTTCATCATGTTCTAATGTTTGCTGATGCTCACTTCCTGTTTTTAATGTGACCGTTTTTTTTCGGTCAAGTTTTTGTCATTTGTTATTTTATACACGTGGACATTAAATTTAAATGTTACATGTTTTACTCTCCTGATATAAAAAAGGCTATGCTTTTTTAGCATGAATTTAAAGTAATCCAAGCAGTAAAATTACATAAATCACATTTTAATCCAAAAAAAAAATAACACGTGAGCTTAAAAGGTGAATTAGTTTGAAAAGGGGACCTTCTTTTAATAAAATGTTTCAGGACTAACCTTTCTCTTCTTGCCTCTCCTTCAGATGACTCCATTTATGAATCACCGGAGCCCTTCCTGACCGACGACACCACCGGCGGCAGCAACCTTGCTCTGCCGTCTGCCATATTGCTCTCGCTCCTCCTCATCCTCCTCCTCGCCTCATCGTAGCACCACCTCCTCTTTCTCCCGCTGCTGCAAGAACAGAACAGATGAAGATGAAGTCCTGCTTCCTAAACTCTGATCCTTTTCTGGACATCATTGAGGAGTCTGAGGTCAGCAGCGGGAGACTTTTGGAGCCGCATCTCGATTCCACATGGAGTCTCTGCAAACTCTTCTGCTTTGTGATGTTGCTGTTAAAAATCAAATACACTTTCAGATCTACAAGCTGAGACTCCACTGACTCCCATGTTCAAATGTCCACCGCCTGCTGGATTTGATGTATCTTAAACCTTTAAGCTTAAATCTGCCTTGTCTAAATTTTAAAATTTCCATGTGGTTCATTTTAGATTTAATGCCAAAGTTTTGTATATCCGCTGTATGAGCTCCTATTAGCTGTAGCCAAACGCTAAGACTGCCATAAAAGTGGTTCTTTTATTTTTGAGATTTTGCATTGTTGCACAGATATCAGCTAATATGCAGAAGTCAAAATGCAGATAGTTTTTCTTCAACTTTTGGAAGATTTACAGAAAAAATAAAAAAGAAATCTAGATCCTAGTCAAAAATAATGGCTAGCAGACAGATGATCGATCAGGAACTCCTTGTATTCCCTGACAACTTCTAAATGCTGCTAGCTTTAACCTTCAACTAGGATGAAGTATCTCAAAAAAAAAAAAAAAAAAAAAAGTTTAAGGTCTGAACACATCTTGTTGTAACTAAAATTTACAAATAAAATACATTTGGAAATGATGTTGAAGGGCTGAGCTCTGCTGGATTAAAAGTGACTAGATCTTTATAAAAGATTATAAAAGAAAATTACACAAAAACTGGATTGAAAATAAAAACTAACTTTATTAGTCCTTGTTTCTTGAAAAGAAACTTCTATTCCCTTTGTGCATTCCATCTGGATCTCCACTGCTTCCATAGAGACCGGGTGCTGGAGGAAAACAGTGAAAAAAAACATCCAGCCATTTTTATAAGTAAAGTTTTAGACCATTACAACGAAATCAGCAGGCACTGTTTCTCCCATGGAAACCCAGAAAAGTAAACTATACCAAATATATAACATTACTTATACATCATAATACAAAAATAATGATGATAATTTATATCAACCATCCCATTACCATACTAACTTTATTGGAGTCTTATTCTTCTGCCTCCTAGAAGTATTTTTAAACAAAGCAACCCTCTATAAAATAAAAAAAAACTCCTTCCATGTAGGTATAGGTTACCTTCTTACCATTTAGAAACCGCTTGTTGCCTCCCTTGCTGCTTGTGCATAAGGCCTAATTTCTTATGCTTCTGGGTCTGACTCACGATCCAAGATGTACGGTTGCACTATTATGCTTCTATTTGCAGCCATTTTCACATGTTTAAAGTGCTGGGAACCCCCTCCTATCATTGAGTTGGAGGTGGCAGATTTATTTGCATAAATTATTCTGAAATAAACTTGAATAGTTAGAAGTGAGGACTATGAATCTTTGAATGATTTAGTTAAAAATATGTAATAAATTGAGAGGAAGGATCTTAAGAAATTACATTCTAAATTGTTCATTTATTTTTTTCCCCAAAATCTAACACAATGTAACATTTCTCAAGAAGGTTAATTTATAATTAAGCTTTAAAGAAAATCTTTGATTTTAATGTATTCAATTTAAGAATATGAAAGAAAATAAACCTACAAGGATTTACTCTACAGCTAAGGTCCTTAAAATGGGGGTCCACAGAGATGCTGCATGGGGGTCACAAAAGTTTTGGTTGATTAGATTATTTTTAATATTCCCCCCTGCAATTTTTTTCACTAATTGAAATGTCTTTAAATACATATTAACATGAATTCAACACACTGTAGTAAACAGATAAATGGAGGCAGAAGATGACTTTCAGTCATCAATGCTCACATTCAGCGACACACAGGAGCTCTTTCAAGCTGGGCATCGTTTCATTCACAACACCTGTCCCATCAATGAGGAATCAGAATCAGAAATACTTTATTAATCCCAGGACGAAATTACTTTCGTTACATTACTCCATCTGTAATAGAGTGACTATAGGACCAGTTTGATGTAACACAATTTCATACAATTTATATAATTAGGGGGTCCCCTCTCCATCTCGCCATTAGTTTGGGGGTCCCTGGCCTGAAAACGTTGACGACCCCTGCTCGGGGGGACTGACCTGCTAGGGTTGCTACTTTGCATAGGCCTTTTGAAATTAACCTTGCCACAACAGGTCAGTCAATCACATTACAGTGTTATGTTTTAATGCGGAACTCGACAACAAGACTGTAAAAGTTTGGTTTAGTATTTTCTCCACTGTTGATTATTTACCCAGACTGGCTAGAACCAAACTTTGTTGGGTGGGCACTGGGGTTCACTTCACCCAATCAGCTCGAAAGGTTCTGCTGAATAGCCCTCTTTTCCCTGAACAGACTCAATGGGAATAGTCCCTGATGAATAATCTGTAGAAATAAAACTGAGTTCCACACATTATCAATTTGGCCTTCTATCTTAAATGGAAATTTATAAATATTAAGGTCATTTTATACAAAAGAACTTATTTTAGCTAACTTTAACTCTTTTTAGTAAAAAGAGAGCTATTCCCAGGACAGATCTGAGCTTCCTCCTTGCTAAAAGCTTCCCCAATATTTACTCTTGTTCTGTTATTCCTTCAGTTTGGCTTTTTTTTTTTTCATACTAGGCAAACGTTTTATTTTGCTACTCTCCTGTGGAGTCTGTGATGGGTTTTAGGTGCACTGTGGCTGTTCTTTTGTGATGCAGCTTCACAAACCTTCGCCCCTGTTTTCTTGCAGCGGTGGTGACTTAAAGCAGGCATGAGAACAAAATCGTGCGGCACGTCACACCGACATGAACGTGGCCCAAATTACTCTCTAGTGAACAGACTAATGGAGCCTGTGGAGCAGGGATGTCAGAACCCAGTCCTAGAGGGCCATTGTCCTGCAACTTTTAAACGTCTCTGCTTTAACCCAACTGAATCAAATAATAAGGTCCTTGGCACGACTCTGGAGAACTTAACCTCAAATGATTCGTTTGTTAAGCCATTTGATTCAGGTGTGTTAGACCAGGGGGATATCTAAAAGTTGTAGGACTTAGTTTGGACATTGCTCCTGCAGGTAACTGCAGTAAATAGAGGAAACACATTTTGCACCTTGAGACATTGTAGAAACATTTATGGGTAAGATAACAAATATTTTACTTTTAATCTTAAGATATTCACCTTAAAAAAAAAAACAGAACACATTAAAGGTTTGGTAAGTGACCAGCGCTGCCATCCAGTGATCAAACTAGATGTTGCAACTTACTTCTTTTATCTGCTGATAAATACGGAGGTAAACTTAAATAGTGAAAGAAAAACAATTTATATAAAGATTAACTACTTATGTAAAGTTATTTTGGATCCCTCCTTAAAAAACGAAAAAATAATGTACTGTATTTAGATGTAATACTATTAAAGCTGTATTTCTGAATAATGAGTTATAATCAAATCAGATGATTCTCTTCCTCATCTGACCAATCACTGGAATCCCTCATGGGACGGCTAACAAATTAAAAATAAAGTCAGAAATGTTTGCTGTAGAAATTGGATTTACCTGTGAAACATGGCAGTCAGTGGAGTCCAGCGTCAGCATGTAAGACTCAACAGAGAAACAGAAACCCATCAGAGATGGAAATAATCTTCAGCTTTCATCGAGTCACCAGGAAAATCATCCGCTCATTAACATCCTTGAGGACAGACTCGCTGAGGATCCCAGCAGCTACTCAACCCCAGAAAGTCCCATGTTTGAATCACAGATGATAGCAGGCAAAATGAGCCGCAGTTTCCACCTGGAAGCAAAACAAATCCATAAAAACCGCATTAAACTGTTTAAATATTAACCTCTATCACATTTGCCTCCGTCGATAATTCCTAACATTCTTGAACCCAGTGAGGTTTTAAAGATGGTCTCTAAACGGTTGAATATAGAATGGTGATATGGAAACAAGCATTCAGGGTTTTTTTTTCATGGATGATGCAAATTTCAATAAGAAAAAAACTTTTAAATATTTGTTATGAGTTAAATAGTCAGTATTCATCAGAGGGGCATTCTCTTCAGTTGCAGGGTTAAATGAAGCAGTTAAAGAAGATACAAGATGGATATCCTACTAAATCTGCTTTTCAGAAACAATTCTCAGGCCTTTGGGTCTTTTGGAAGTTAGGACCTTTCTTTTACACAATATATTTTACAAGACACACATTTCTGGACATTTATCTAATCTTAAAGTCTTTATATCAACGGAGTTCTGTGTGTTTTTGTCAAAACGCATCTAAAGAAATGCCTTCAAAACTTCAAAGCCTACATCATGCACTTGAGCTCAAAAGAAAATTGTTTTGTGGAGATTGTGGCTCAGATCTGTTATATTCATCTGTGTACATCATAAATAACCAGTGTCTAAACCGTCCAGCCCCACAGCAGCAAACGTCCTTTCCAGTTGACGGCCTTTTCTTCCTGAAAATCTGCCAAAGACTCTTGTTAACTTTTCTATTGCAGTGCTTCTTTGCAGTCGGGGTTGGGTTGCGCCATTCAGCAGCTGAGGGTTATTTAAAAGGGGAGGAGCTTACTACTTATTTTCTAAATTTTGTCATTGTATTGTAAATAAAAAGTAAAACCGAATGTTCTGCGAAAAATACAAGTGTACAAATATATAAATGGCCTTCCCCCCCACTGGTGCTGAATTTTTATTGACTTACAAACGACACTTTGTGGTGACGCTTTTCATCAAAGCCCCCAAACTTTGTGTTGTCTTCATCACCTCATAACATCCTTCCATCCCAGACGATGGAGGGAAGTGTGTCCTTGTGAGCGGAGGAGCAGGGGCATGCTGGGAAATGCAGTATCTTAAACAATGGCACTGTAACGGAGGACAGGCGGGCAACGAAACCCAACTCCTGTGGAGAACGGAGATAAAGTGGCAAAAATGTTTAAGTTGAAACTAAAGGAATGAAGTGTTTTGTTCAGCTTGTGCCATTTTCTTTGTTTTTAAAAACCCAGGAGATTATTCATATATGATGTAAAGTCTGATGTTTGTTGTTGTTTTATGGTTTTGTTTCTGCTTGAACCACAAAGCATTCTGGTCCCTGTAGTCCTGTGAATTCTGGTTCTGTTGGATGGTACTGGTACAGTGGGGTTTTTTTGGCTCGTCACCATGTTAAAATTGATTTCCGTGTGAATGATTTTAGTTCTTTGTGGCACTCAGAAGTAAAAGAAGTAAAAGAAGAGGAATAGATACAGAAAAAAAAGCTAAATGTACTCCAGAAGGAAATGTTTTTCTACGTCAAAATGTCTCCATATTCTATTCTTTCAAAGGCAAAATTTGTTTTTTATATTTTCTTATTGGATGCTTATAAAGTCTGTTGTAAAGTAAAAATAAGCATTTATCTGATTGGCTAAAAAGCTGCCAAGGGGTCAAAGGTCACAGGCCTCCATTTGTTTGCCTGCGCTGCATGAGCAGGAGAAATAAACTATATTTAGTGAATTTACTTTGAAGAGAGAAACTGTTAAGATATGAACCTGTGTTTGATAAGTCACCACCAATAAAAACACATTTAAACTTCCACTCAGCAAGTTTTGTCTGAATTATTTTAAATTTATATGGAATTAATAAAGTCAGCAGGAAAAAAAATCAGGAATTAAAAAGGACAGTTTGGAACTTTTGTTCTCAGGTACTTTTTAGTG